CTGCTGCAGAGTGCAATTGTAAGAGCCCTGCTGGAACATATTTAACGATTACTCTAATTTTCATGTCTGTTCGAGCTAAATATGATAGATGAGAACCCTTTGTTTTCATTGAATATTTTGTGCTAGATAACTAATGTGTGATTTAGTTAGAAGACCTGTATTGGTTTGTCTGATGTGAAATGCTAGTCTACAGGTTGATAATAGGAAAAGCAAGTGACCTTATTTGATGTTTAAATTTGCTTATTTTGTGTATTAACAAATAGGGAAAATAGCATAATAAAATATCATATAGAAAACTCTACATTTCGCAGTCCTCCATGAAAATGAGTGAAATGCGAACACTGCAGAATTCAGTAGTTGCCTGACTGCTGAAAAGCAAAGAAAGATTTGTATCAGAGCTCTTGGTAAAGTATTAATTAAGCAAGTTGCTTGAGCAAAGTAATGCTTCAGGGACAAAGACTTTCAAAAGAAACCCAGTTCTTCAGAAGGGGATGTTGAAGCACAATGTAAAAGTTTTATCAGGTTGTGAGGTAATCCTGGGTGAAACAGGGTCAAAGAGTGGACATAAGGAATTACATCTTTCAAACGTGTGCTCAGACTGCTGTGTCAGTCTATCTGCCTTGTCTGTAGGCATCAATTTCTCTAACTTCACTACACCTTTATTAATTTGGTCATCCTTTCTCCAGTGAAGTAGTAAAACCCTTATTCAAGTTAAAAAAAGAAAAGAGGGTTGCGGGTGGATCAAACGCCATTTTTAGCTTTTAGAGGAGTGCATTTACAGGTTTTGTTTGGGTTTGTGTTATTTTTTAAAATTAATTTTCAATTGTAAATATTTCAAAAATGTATTAATTATCTTACGTCTAGATTCTCTTGTTGTTTCTCGCTTGACACTTCTTACATACTTTTAGGGGATCCCTCATTTCCTTTACCTTTCCTTTGTACGAGAAGGAACAGCAGATAGTGGAAAGGATGAATGTGGATTTCTATTGAGTAAAGATAAGTTTAATGATATTGCGGTGTTCAATTACCAGAAAATGTGTGAAAGCCACCCTCAGTGTGTCTACTAATCCTCTTAGTCAGACTTTGCATACATTAAGGAGGGACTTAATATTTAATTATGCTCTAGGTGCTGTAAGTAGTGGTCCCACAAATCAATGTGCTGCTGGGAAACAGGCCAGCTCTTACAAAATTAAAAACGTACTTTATGGAAGCAGCCACCTGTCAAACAGTCAGAAACACCACAATTTCCAGTTCTCTAATGATTAGTTAACAGAATTATAAATTCAGGGGTCCTCATTTTTCAAAGTCCTGAGAGTCTTTAATTCACATTCCAGTAGCATCCCACGCTACTGGAGGGAGGAGGTATGCATTGTTTTAATCCCTTTGATGAATTTTATCTGAGCTCTTCAGGTTCTGTAATTTTCTAGTTAACTGGTGCATGAAAAATATGGGTCAAAATGCTGACTTTTACATATTACAAAATGTTGGGGGTTAAGAAAAATTTGGGTTAGAATTTTCATATGAAATTTTAGCTTTATCAATCATAACATGGGAAATCCATTTTTTTCCCACATAATATTTAAAAATATAGTCTGTAGTGACTCACAGCACTGCCTAACATACATAAGGTATCAACTAAGTGGTTAGATGTGTGTACATAGTTTTCAGTGACCAGTTACAAGGCATAAGTTACAGCAATAAGAGTTAGGGTTTTGCCCCGGGAAGTTACAGCAGTACTATAACAAAGCTACTGTAGGTAAACCAAGGGTTAGTTTAAGATAAGAAGTTAATAACTGTGAAGCTTCCATAAGAAACACCTTGTCTTAAAAGGATTTTAATTATTATGCAAATGCAAAATGTAATTACTGGTTGCATGCCACTTAAATGCAAATAGCTTTGTCATTTAGAGAAGGTAATCTTATTTAGCCTTTCCCCTCATATTGTTATATTATGTTTTTTTTCATGGTCTTGGGGTATACAGAGCCTCTGAAGGCTAAGCGTTTTTGAAAATTGGAAGGAATATCTAATATGAATTTAAGTTTCTAACTTTAGACACCTTTTAATTTTATCTGTTAGCTTTTTTTCCCCTGAAGTTGAGCTTTGAAAACTTGCCAGATTAATTTGTGGTTTTGCTGTGTACATCCCACACACATTTGCCCTTCCTTCATATATGCAACTTATGTATGCCATATGCAAGTTTTATGTGTCTCAGCAACTTTAGTAATGTCTACATTAACATAATGACTTTTGAGCACTTGGGTATGGCTGTCATGCCTCCTCTGCTCTTTTGTTCCTCTTCCCCCAGTATATGAAAAATGTGTATCTCTTTACGTGATATTTTTTTGTATGACATTGTAGAGAAAGGCCTCAGTGGGAATAAGTCCATGTCCGATAATTTTCAACTTATTCCCATTGCTTCCACTTGTGTCAGAGAGCTTTAAACATAAGGATTTGAAAAGCACTGTGAAATTTAAGAATTCCCAAGGCATTTTGCTCAAGTCATTTATCAGGTAACAATGTCCTGTATTTAGCCTGATCTGGCAAAATACAGGTGAAGGAGTTGTATCCTTTTAATCCTCAGCCATGTTTTGTTTGTGAAAAATGCTTAATTAGAAGAAAGATTTATGGTTGTTTCAACTTCGACTAAATTTGTTTTGATGTTGTTTATAATTCTAGAGACACTGTTTCTCTACTGGTAATGCATAAAAATTAAGTTTAACAAATTTAATTTAAGTTTTAATTAATATTGTAAAAGACTAATTTCCGTTCCTTGAAGATGCAATTTATCCATATGAGAACATGTGAAATGTATTTCTTCTGGTAACATAAATTGTAGTGTGTATGATTAATTAAATACTTTAAGATGCAAATGAAATATTTTCCATTAACTGCACAAGTAAAATGAATGAGACAAAGTGGAGAGAAAAGAAGTATAGGTTGAGTGAACATGAGGGTTTCGAATGGGAGCCCTGGGTACTGCAGAGCTCTGTGGTGAGCAGCAGTTGCTTCAGGGGAAGATAAGAGTGCTCTGGAGTGGATTCACAGGGGATAATTCACTTTCTGTGAGAGGTCTTTTGTAATGAAGGTATAAGTGGAAAATGGTTTAGACATTGCATATTCTGCTTTTATCTTGGTTTCCAAAAAAATTAAGAGCTCATTAGTGATGTATTCTGAGTTTCATTATTATGTTGCAAAGAAATTGGTGGTTGAACTGTGATTCAACCTTGGGCATCTCTTGTGAAGTTCTTGGCATTGGTACACCATACAGCACGGAGTACAAAACATGCTGAAACTTTGTAAAAGGATTTTTTTTAACCTCTTTATGTGATTTGGAATGTGGTGGTGTTTTATGTTTTATTGGATAGTAAAATTTAGAAAATCAAAGCCCCTGCTCTATGTACTTCATTACATTTTTCCTTATTCTCTTGTTTACTCAGTCTAAGTAAACAATTCCAGTCATGTTACCTCCTCCACGGTGTTTTCTGTCTCTGTAACTATTCCCCTCTGTCTCGGAGCCCACTGTGGTATGCAGTGTGCCTCTTGAAAGGAGATAATTGGAGAAGTGAATGGGATGCCCTTGTGGAAATTAGCAGTCCA